CCCCAAAACCCCAAAACCCCAAAACCCCTAACAGAAAGAAAGAAATTGAAACTCGTAGTATATGAGTTAAATTTTATGAATAGATGTAGTTTTAAGGGTTCGGTTATTATATCATGCTAAAACTTATAATAAAATCTACCTATAAAATCACATTGATTTGATCCTGAAAGCCATTAACAGAGTTTTATTGCTGGAATATTCTAATAGAGTCTACACAACATTCATTAACTTCTGCATAATATTATTCTGAAAATCTTCTTCTAGATTTCAAATTTGTGAAAAGTAGGTTTATAATAAACACCTGTTGTTTAATAATTTTGGCGAAAATAAAGCCAAGGAAAGTAACATACAATGACTTTTGTTATCGTACTACTGGTGGAGGATTCGAACAAAATAAATATGCTTTATAGTTCTAAATTTTGAAATTCCATCTTTGCTTTTATAGAATATTCTTAAAAAGTCTGAACTGCTTGTACTAGAAATTACTTCTTAGATTAATAATTCTGATAAAAATTCATACAAAAACTATTTCTTATCAAATATTTGTGTAAAATTTCTGAAATTTTCAAAGTTTTTGATTTTTGAAATTTATGTCACCTTAATATTCCCAATAGAGGCTAAACCTACCTTCATAGTGGTGATTATAGATACAGACCAATAACAAGACAGGTCACAAAGGACTCATTTTTCGTGGAAAGAGGTAAGAAGAGATTCTTCATCTCTGCATCAAAGAAATCCCAAGTTATGTCAATAAACGGTGAAAAACTTTATTAATAATCACTAATTTAAATTTTTTGATATTAAAAGCAAGTTTTAGATTCCTTTATTTTTCAATGAATCTGAGAGAGGTTAGAACTGGTCACCATGAAGATTTGCCCAGATTTTCTCCCTGATCTGGGTGATCTCCTTATCTGAAATAAGGTTGGACAGATTTAGCTTTCTGTCAAATCGCTTCTTTGCTAGTTTAGGATCCTCTATTGATTCAAAACTTCCTAATAATGGTTTATGGTTATTTAAAGGTGAGATCATGTTTGTCCTCATTTTCTTGATGGATAGAGACTCCTTATTGGTCTCATAAGTAGGGCTAAACGCTCTAGAGGGGTGGTAGTTCTCATAATTTCTTCTAATAATCAATTTTCCTAATTTAGAATTCTTAGTTGAGTAGTTTTTAGAAAAGTCTCTTTGCTTAGAAGGTTTAAGCCTGCTCTTCTGAAAGAAAGGCTTACGATAAAAATTAAGTTTTCCTCCAAGACTATTATCATTTTTAATATTCTCAAAGAATCTCGACCTCTTTGATGCACTTTTATATGAGAAGTTTACATCTGATCTATCTTGGTTAAAAGCTTCAATGGTTGAATTAGCAGCAGGAGTCTGATTTAATATAGTCTTGGGCATCTTCTTTCTCGGAGTCCTTGCTTCAAGCCTCTTGAGATTAACTCCTCTAGAACTGCTTAGCTGATGCAACCTAGTTGTTTGCTCTCAAACTGGTGAGCAACCCCTCTTAATTATCAAAAAAGCCCTATTATTAAGTTTAAAAATTGGGTTTTATTCTTGTTTTCTAAGAAAAAGCAAAGCAGCAAAAAATGGAAAAATCTTACCTTAAGTTTCTCTTTTGTGTTCCATTATTCGCTTCATTCAAGAAGAAGAGTTTATGCTTGCCACTATCGATCTCAAATTTCTGAATCTTTTGCTTGATTTCAGCTTTCATTTCTCGTGTGACTTTCTTAGAGATGTATCGTTTGCCAAACATTTTCAATTTGTATCCCTCTGGATTCTTTTGGAATCTCTATGTTCAATTATTAGTTCAACTAATCCAAAGAAGTACATAAATAATACCCAGCTAGCAAGAATAGGGATTTAAGCAGGAGAAGTCACTTACGATATAACTCTCTGGACTCAATCCTTTAAGGAAAGAATTCTTAACTGCTTTCACCTCGTTGTTAGTGGATCTGAGATTGAATGGTCTCATATTTATATTTTTATGAAATTTTGTTCAACCCTCCATATATGTATGGGGTTTTGGGGTTTTGGGGTTTTGGGG